TTTCTAGTACATGAAGTTAGCAGGGTCACCCCAGCTGAACTTCACCAAAACCACAGTTGTTCATACACTGAAAACCTATTTCAGGCATTTGTTTCCATGTGGTTTGTGGGAAATTGATGTTGGAGCTTACGCTGGCTGCAGCTCTTCAGGCAGTGTACACGATGAGGGTGTCTGAGGAGGAGCCAAGCCTCTCCTCTAGGTGGAGAGCAGAAAATCACTTACCCCGGGGTCCAGTGGTCTGGATACCCTTGCAGAGAAACTGATTTGGGAGCTGATAATGCTACTGTGGCTTTTTATCTTTTTCTTGCCCTGACCTTATTGGTGTCTTAGCACCTGACCATACCAGGTTAGGGTTGATATGTTAGTTTCAAGCTTCAGCTTCTCTTTGAGGAGGTAAAAATACTTCTTATTACAGTAGCTGTTAAGAGACATGAGAGGTTTTTGCTGGGACCTGGCAGCTTAGGGGGAGTTGGGGAAGATATGGGTGGCTCAGAGCTGGACCCTCCCTGAGCCTGCTCTACAGGTAACGAAGGAGGGGAGCAGGAAGCAAGCAAGATCTCATGAGGTATTTAATTGTCCATGCTAATCCTTGGGGTTTGGGGTTTCTTGCTTTGCTGCTTTTTCCTAGCAGACCTTGCCCCCTTCTCTGTTGAGCATTGCTTTGAAGAGGCTTGTCAAAGAGAGGTAAAGAGACCGAGAGACAAAGGTAACTGTCTCAGGAACCTGTGTGGGCACTGCCTTGGCCTCAGAGAGGGAGCCAGGGTATGGGTATTTGAGCTGAAACATTGCCCTGGGGCAGAGAAGAGATTCAAGCAGCACTGGTATCTTTGCAGCAGACGCTGGACTCTGTAATTTGGACCTTTTCCCCACCTGTGCTGTTTGCACTGGGAGGATTGCCATCATAGCCAGAGGAGGAGAACTGAATCGTCCCCGCTGGGCAGCAGGTTGGGTTAGAGGAGAGATCCCCATCAATACTGCATCCACCAGCGCTTCCCTTCCCTGTCCCTCTCCTGGGCAGCCAGCACAGCCTTTGAGCCACTGCAACCAGGCTCTGGTCGCATCTCTGCCACTGAGTCCCCGCGTGACCTTGGAGAGGTCATTTTTGTGCTGACGTCCGAGTCTTTTGTCTGCAGAATGTGAAGGCTGATTCAGTTACAACTTCAGGACGAATCAGCTGGTGTCCTCCCCCAGCAGCCGAGGAGCCTGCTGTCATGTGTGCCAGTGCATGCAGAGGGGCAGCCCTTGCTCAGCACACCGGTGCAGTGGTACCAGTCAGTGTGCTTTGGTGACTGGTAGGTGACATAAAGCACACTGAGATTGTCCCCGTCCCCCCCCCAGTTTGGAGAGCAGAAGGGTAATTGCAGCTAGGGGGGAGCAGTGGGGCTCAGGGAGCCGGTTCCTCTGGCCCGGCCATGCTCGGCAGTTATGCCTGCGGGTTGCTGTAATAACGAGTCAGCACTTCTCTTGCGTCAGGGCTGATGAGCTGCTCTTCAGCCGCTGCCTCTCGGGTCCAAAGAGGAAGAAGCAGTGGTGGAGAAGGAGTGCTGCTGGCAGGGGAGCTGGTGATGGAGGTCCCTTCTCAGGAGGGAGAAGGCAGGCTTTCTGTGAGGATGTTGGGGTTTGGCACTGAAGCATGGCTGGTGGAGGAGCTGGGCTGGCAGTGTGCTTCTGCAGTGGAAGGGAGGTGTAGGCTCATAAATGGGGTGGCCTTTCTGGACCTGTCCCAGATACCTGAATAGCAGTGGTGGCCGGATAGCCCCTGGGGAAGGGGGTATGTGTGTGGATGCATCAGCTTTTCTCTTTAAATGCCCCATTTTAGCATATGGCTCCTCCTGTGTATAAAAATACCATCAGGCAAAAATTGGGATTCTGTATCCATCACCTACAAAAAGGACAAGTGCCCTCAATTTAGTTATGTCTCCTGGGCTTTTTGTGCAGCAAATCTGGGTATTGCTGTGCCACATCTACACCCTCATGTGACTGTCCTGAAGGGAATGCTCTGCACCCATCCCAACATCCTGCCAGCTGCAGCACACAGCCTTGACCTCCTCCTGCTCATTCCTTCCTCCACCCCCATTTGCTGATAACAGGGAGATTTGTGAGACGTGTTTTCCGCTGGGATGTTGTAGGCTGTATGGATAATGCACAGAGCTGAGGAGGGTGGTAAAGGGCTTGGGAAATACTTGGCTTGGCAGAGACTGGTGTTAAAATGAAGAGCTCACTGTTTCCTGTGACGATTCTAATACCTCTGTTCAGACACCATCTTTTTGGGGTTTGAGCCTATACTGAGAAGCAAAGTGTGTGCATGGAAGAAGAGGAAGGAAATATTAGACTATAGGGTCCAAGTTTTATGGGTCTTCCTTGTCTACATCACCATATTGTTACTCCTTGCTCTTTCCCATTTGGCTCTCTGGGGCTAGCTTGTATTGGCCCAGTGGGACAGGCTGGATTCAGCTGTATCGTCATCATCCTCAGCAGCATCTGGCCTGTATCAGGATACCTGACATCTGGGTGCCCTGGGGGGGAAGAGCAGTGTGTGTGGTGGGAGGAATCTGTGGGACTGCTGAGGCTTCTGCTTTCCACATTGGGACTTTACTTGAGCAAACCCCAGCCTGGTCTGTGTGCCTGGGTCCTTCATGTTTGATTTTTAACCTCAGTCCTGCAGTGTGCTAGACAGCCTCCTTGGAGAGCAGCCCTTTGCCCTGTGAGCCACATGCGTTTCTGCCTCATTCCTTACCAAGGTTTTCTTGGGAAAGGAAAGCTCTGCCTGATTTAGGCTCCTCTTGGGCACCTCAGGTGCTGCTCTCAATCGGCAGGCTAATTTCTAGTCTGTTGTGCTTGCAGGGGAAGGAGGTGTCCCAGAGGGTTGTTGTGCCTGGCAGTCCCTAACCAGCCCTACCTCATATGTGTCCTCTCAGCAGCCCTGTTTTTGAGAAGAGTAAGTCCTGCAGACATTGCTTTGTGCTTGTTGTCAGCAGTGGGGAAAGCTGCCTGCAAGCCCAGTACTCTGGTTCTCTGTTCTGGAGAGCTTGGAGTCAAAGCTGCATTAATCATAGGTGTGATGAGTTGGACAAACTCAATATCTTCCAAACAAGAGGGCTGAGGACTGGAGTCAAGCATCCTTCCTTGACAAGAGCTGCACTGGCAAAACCTGGAGGTGAATGTGAGCAGTATTTGCCCCTGGCATGGTCCTTGCATTCTACTGGTCTAAGCCACTGAGAAGTTTCCACTGCTTTTCTAGTGAATGTGGTGGCAAATGTGCTATCATTTTATTGTGGGTGAGCTTGAGAGAAGCCAGGTGAACCTTGCTGTGTGTAAGGGTATGATTGCCAAGACCTATAGCTCTTGGCTGACCCAAAGGAATTCCTTTTGTCAGCCACTGTATTATTTTTACTCGATTTGGGGGGTTTTGGTAATAGCTGATTCAGGTAGCTAACCCAGACAGGTGAGGTATCAGTGCTTCCACCTTGTTCCTCTGTGGAGAAGCTGTGCACAAGTTGCCCAAGTAGGGAAATTGCCCCACTGTTTAGGACCTGTTAGATTGAGTCCAGGGTGTTTGTACTCACTGTTGTAGAAGGTTGACCTCTTCAGCATCCATCACAGAAATACAAGGTGTTCAGATGCGCTCGGGTGATGTGCTGGTGGAGGATTGCAGTAGAACATGCAGTCTGCAAAGGATCCAGACTGGTGCTTGGATGCTTTTCTGGATGTGTTGGATTTTCCCTGGGATCACACCTTCAGCATGGCCACAGTGAATAATGGCAGAAGGAGTTTTGGTTACTTTTGTGTGTGTCCCTTTGTTTCTGCTGCTCATAGGTGGGATGAAAGCATCCCTGCCTGAGGATGTTTTGAATGCGGTGCACTGCCGAAGATGGAGAAATTAAAGTTATTTTGGTAGAGGCGTGTTTCTGCTGTTGCTGCATTGGCTGAGCCCTGGCCAGAGAGCACTGCCCTGTCCAAGGGGTAGGCCTTGCTGCAACTCTTGTGACTTTCCAGATGAATGTGTGTTTTGGGCAGCTGATAAGCCTGAGCCAGGGGCCTGCCCCTGTCCCAAGAGGACCTTGCCTTGCTGGCAGCCTCCCTTCCCCTCCTCTTCAAAGTTTCTTGAAGAAAATACAGTGTATTGCTCTCCCAGAAGTGTTGTTTTCATAGCTTCTAGGGAGCCTTTACCAGCAGTTTCTCCACATACGATGTCCTGTGTGCTCCTCAAAAGAAAAAATGTTTTCCTTTCTCAAAAGAATCTGATCCTTCCCAGCTACTTTATAAAAATATTCTCAGAAATAAATAGGGCCCATCAGGAGAAGAACCCACATCTCTTAACTGGAAAGAACTTGGGGGAGTGGAAAGGTTGAGTAATCTGTTTCAGGATCCCCTCTAGACTCCAGTAATGGGCTGTGCTTGCTGGTAGAGCCACCTGAGATGGCATGGGGAAGGTGCTCCCTCGGCTGATGTACTGAGGAGCAGGGCATCATTTGGGTGATTCTCTGGTACAGGAGCTGCATTGGAGCTGGGCACAGCTGTTGACGTCCCTTGTGGCTGCAAAAACCAAGAACCATCAGGAAAATGCTTGTTTTGCTTTTGCTTTGGCTGCCACTTCTGCTCCCTGGCTGGTCACTGTGGTAGATACTCTCTGTGCAGCTTTCCATTTGATAATGCTGGCTGGGGGAGCATGGGGGTGGCACCAGATAGCTCATTGTATGGATATTTGTACATCTGTATGAGCTTTTTATTGCCCACTGTCTGTTAGAAGCCAACGTAGAAAGTTACTTATGAGAGCAATACATGCAGGTAAACACAGCCTCCTTCAAAATCTTTCTCCCAACAAGTGGTTGAATTGAGGTGGGTTCCAAGCTCGATTGTTGTTTAACTTGGGATACTAAGAAAATACTTCCTCTGTTTAGCTAAAGCAAACAAATCAAGGAAGGAGGGACCTTTTAAATGATTCACACTCCAGCTGCAACCAGGACTGATTTTTTTTCTCTTTTTTTTCTCTTTTACAGATATATTCCCAGCTGACGGCCAGTCTGGTATGTATCAATTGCAAATGGAGCTCTTCAAACCTCCTTCTCCCCTGCACTTCTCTTCCTGCAGAGTCAGCTCTATCCAGATTTAGAAGATTGCTACAGGAAAATGTAACAGATAGAAACTGGAAAAAACAAACCCAAAAAACCCAACCTTCCTCAGGAAAAAAAAAAACCAAACCAAGAAAGTCCCTCATATTTGGCTATTCTTGTGGGCAGTGACATGGTTTATGCCTTCCCACAGTGATTGACTACAACTGCTGGAAGGTTACTTATCTTCCATGCATTGCAGTGTGGCAAGTTTGGGTCTCCAAGGTGAAAGAGCTTCAGAACTTGGCAGGCTTGATCATCATGCACAGCTGAAAACATTGATGTGTCAAGATGAATATGGAACTCAGAATTGCTCCTGTTTGTATGTTTGTTATGTACAGCTTGATGTGTCCATGAATCTGAAGATGTATGTTTGAATTTGCAATACTTCGGAAAGATGCAGACTTCCCCTTTGGCTTGTTCAGTCTGTGTGTTGCTGCTGAGCATCACTGTTAATGACAACTGAGATACACACTGCATTGCCATCAGTGCAGGATGAGAACTTCCTGGGCCCAATAGTGTGTGCAGCCTGGCTGCATTGGTGGATTGGTGCCCTAGGTAGGGCAAGGAGGTCCCAAATTAGGGGTTATAGTATTTAAAAGCAAGGTATTGGTGATCTCAGTTTCTTGTCTTTCCCAAATTGCTGGAAGCTCTTCATTCAGGTGGATGTTGTTGACATGCCAAGACTGAAGGACAGGTTTGTTTTACCCAGTGATGCCAAGATCAGTCAGTAAGGTCCTGTTGTCTCAAACCTACAGTGCCTGGTTGGGATGTCCCAGAGCAAAAGATCTGGGAGTGGAGGTCAGTGCTTGGCTTGGACACATCGCTGTGTCCACCTCCTACTTGCATCTGTGGCTTTGCATGGAACCACATTTCCCCAGCTCACATGATAGTGAGGATAAATCGCTGCTGATTGTGGAGTATTGCGTGATGGGGATTTGGAGGTATGGAAATAGGTTCTGTTGTCTTAAAGCTGATTTCAGTAAAAGTAAATCCCTGGTTGTGAACAATCTGATGTGACATCTGAGACAGTGTAATTTGGTTTTGTGAACTGAACAGAGGGCTTAAAGCCGTGTGTATGTGTGTGTTTCCAGAGCTCTAGCTAGCTAACAAGGCCATGGTGCATAACTGGGTGCACTGGAGTGTTAACAGAAAATGCCTGTGTTAGAGGAGTAACCCCAGTAGTAACCCAACCCGTTCATAAGTCATGATTTTCTTGCTTTCAGAGCATGTGTGTGAGTGAAAAACTAAGACTGATTTTGAAGAAGTAAAGGTACATTCCCATGAGTCCAGTTCACAACAGGCTTTTCTCCACCCTGTTGAAGCTCTGCCTTCATTAGGTGTTGGGTTTTGTCTGCCTGTGCTTCAGACTCTTGAGGTATCCTTTGATTGGCACAACTCCCATCTTCTGCTCTCCAGCTGGTTAGGGACCTTCACTGCCTCCAGGGTGGGGCATGAGTGTGTGTTTGCAGCAGATAATAGCATTTCAGTGAGTGCATGTTGCGTGTCAATAGTGTTGCACAAAACATTACCTATGGAGCCTGGTTTGGGGAGTTTTTTTGACAGTTCGGTATTTTTAAGGAGATAAGTGAAAGCTTAAACAGGATTCCTTTAATGGTCGCTTCACAGGACACTGCAGAGTCTTTTCTTAGCCTTCTCCAGTAAAGCTGGTACCATGCTTTTTCTTTCCAGCTTATCTGGAAGCCTCATATCTCAAAACACAGTGAAGTGTGAAGGCAGCAGCCTTGCCTGGAGCATACCTGCCCCGAGCATCAGAGTTGTGCACTCCTGAGGCTGTTGGCTTTGACTCCCTCACCTCCCTTTCATCGCTGAGGTTGTTTAATGAGTTAGTTTGCTCATGTCTGTTTCTGCAAATCCCCAGGACTCCCATGTCTATGTCTGTGCCTACTTTTTAAGGTTAATCTTGTATAGCCAGGTGGGTCTGTGTGGCTGGTTTTGCCTCTTGGTGAGGAGTCCATTGTCCTTCCACCCAAGTGGTTAGCTTAGTGACTGAGGATGCTGAGCTGTGGTGACAGAGTTGGGACTTCTATGCATAGGTGGGGAGCCTGAGCCAAAACTCAGCCATTTTGTAGGCACAGTAGCTGTAGTGTGCCCCAAAGCATGTTCCTGCTTGTTTAGTGTATGGATGCTGGAGGCGTTCTGCCCTCAGCCTGGTGTCACGAGCCAGTGCTGTGGAGGTGGAAGAGCACCAGTGTTTGCATCCCAATTACCTAACAGCGTTTGGAAGTAAAACTGCTCTCAGAGAGGCATTTTGACTTCCTTCTGTCTAGTGCAGCAGTTCCTTGGTCTTCTCCCACATCCAGCAGTGTGGTGGCAGAGCAGAGGGATGGACTCTTTGACAGAGGAGGGCACGTCTCCACCTGGACCTCTGCACACGTGTTGGACCTGAACATTAACCCCTCTGCAAGGCTGCTCATGCTCTCCTGATGTTCTCTGCTTTCCAGGACTTCTTGCCACATGGTGTGCTGAAATTTGCTGCCTGCAATACTCTGCTTGCTTTAAATGGATCTCCTGCTAGCCTCAAGTGCTGTTCCGGTGCCCTCCTGGTATCCTGCTCTGCAGCCAGTCCTCCTCAGTGGTGGAAGATCTCAGCCTTTTTAGCCTCACCTCTTAAGGGGCTACCTCTGAGCAGTTTAATTGCTTTTCTCTGCATCTGTAGCACTGCTGTGCTCTTGTTGAAATGCAGAGACCAGAGCTAACTGCAGGGTGCTGCTGTGGATGAGCTGGTGTTCCATAGAGCAGCAAGTGATGCTCTTTGAAGAATTGTCCAAGTGGCCAAGGTCTTGAGTTATAAATGCTACTTTGAATGGAACGCTGTGAAGTTTTCCATACGGAGATGTGGGTGATGCTCCCACTGCAAGGAAGCTGTTTTTAAACCTTTTTGTAAAGAAAAGGAGATGGATCTTTAAGTTAGGAGAGAAAGTGCCATGTTGCATTCCTGTAGCTGGGTACTCCTGACTCCTTTGGAAAGGCTTGCTCTGATTAGGGTGTTTTTACTGTTTCATACTGTGTATTGAGCAGGGGAGGCAGCCACCTACAGCACAGGAATTAGCTGGGTTGGAGAGAGTGGTTTATGCAGCAGGATCCATGTGATTGTGCACCCAGGAAGGAAGCTGGTAGCATTTGTTGTATCCAAGTTATTTAGAAAAATCTTGAATTTCACTGGGTCTGCCTTAAGGTGGGCAGCATAAGTGATGATGCTGTATCTTGTGCTTGGAGAGCATGTCCTGAAATCAGCTCAGCTGAGGTACGGTGATGCTTAGGTAGCAGAAAAGGAGCCTTTCTGCCTGCTCTCAGAGACTGGGAGGGTTTTTGGTTCCTGTGCGGGTGTCACTGGATTCACCAACAGGAGGAGGCCCCCATACCTGTGCTTGAGTTTATTCAATCCAGGTAGCTTTGGGACTGTAGCCTTTCTTCAGCTCCTATATTGAGACACCCTGCTTAGCGGGTGACCTGGGTCTGGCCTCCCTAAATTCCTGGGAATGTTTGCAACACCAAATCTCTATTGCTTTCCCCTGTCCCAAGAGATGTAGCTGGGTTTCTGCCTGCTGCTGCTCAGTCTCTTTGCATTATACACAGTCATGGAGGCACGTTTGCAGCTGACCTGGTGCAGGGTTCAAGGGTGAGGTGTAGCTGGCACTTTACGAGGAGCCATTGCACAGGGGACGCACTGGCCCTGCAGAGATCCCTCTGTAGAAGGAGCCCAAGTCAGCAACAGGAATCACGTTGGGAAGAACTAGAAATGATGTTATTTAAATTACATTACATTTCTAGAAGCCTGGCCTCTGTTGTCTTTGAGGTGCCAGGTTTTCCAGAAGCACATTTGCACCTTTGCCTTGTACAACCCCTTTCCCCTCCACTGGCACAGGCAGCAGGAGCTGCACAGACTTCTAGACAGTGCGAATGCTCAGCAGGAGGGACTCGTGGCAAGCGCTTGGCTCTCGATTTGTGTCTCTTCAGTGTGAAGTATTTACAGTGAGACGAACCAGATGCTTCCCAGGAAGGGTTTTGTCAGCTTCCAAGTCCCCAGATGCAGCTGCAGAAGAGGCTGACGGCCATTAAAGGGATCACAGCATTGGCTTCGGCTGCGACGTGGTGACCTCTTCTCACTGATGCCGTGGGCACCACCAGTTGTGCTGTCTCATCGGCCGCAGTGGGATGCGGGTGGAGAGCACCCCTCTGCTGATGACAAGAGATTAATGATGTCTGGTCCTCAGGCTCTTTTTTTTCTTCTTCTTTGAAGCTCTTCCACTGCAATGAGAGGGGGAGTGGGTGATGCTCTTGGCTTTTGTTGCTGCACGCTTTCGCTTCTAGGACCATCTCTCTGCAGCAGGAGGGTGTGTGACCACTGTGTGGCTGCCTTTGCTCCTTCTCCATTCTCAGCATGGCTGTGTCTGTCTCATTTGCCCAGCCGTGCTGTGGAGAGAAGGGTGAGCTGATCCAGGCAAGGCAAACTGCTATCCACAGCCACTTGCACAGAGGGGCCAGCAGCCGAAACATCGCTGCTGAATGCTGCCCCTCAGCTGGTCACACTGGTCAGGTTCCCAGTGTGCCTCCCACCTTCAAGATAAGGTGCAGGACCTTGGGCTGGGCCCTATTTGTTGCTCTTGGTGCTTATCAGCTTTTGCTGCTGACAAGGTGACCTGCTGTGCAGCACTAAGGATGGGAGGGAAGATCCCCCTGGCCCAGGCTGAACGCTAGCCTGACCCCCTAGGGCAGCCCATCTGTGTGCATGCACACTGAACTCCCACTGTGCCGGGTGTTCTAGTCTCAGTCCTGGCTGGATGAGGGACTTCCTGGGTGCCATGGACGTAGGATCTGTGTAGGTGGCAGGTCAGCTTCTCCAAGTGGGAGGGTAAGGGAGGGACAAGCTTGCTAGGTCATCGTTTTTCCAA